AGGCTACTTCGGTTCGACTTCAGCCTCGAGACTCATCAGTGGACTACTTCACTTTTTCAGCTACAGAGTTCCCATCATTCCTACCTATCTACCACCCTCGAGCTTACCCTTCAGTCGCATGATGACCCCTATTTTCCCTGTCTATGTGGGTGTGTCCGCTTGCCGCCCTTCTGCCTTACCTTATGCTGCGCGCCCTCCTCTGAAGTGTACGTTTTCTTTGCTCGCGGCTTCTGGCCACATGTGTATGCCGGCATGGCCCTCTCTCCTTCCAGGATCACCTTATGTGTGCTCCCTTGTGTGAGTGCCTTTCCCCCCTTTCAGCTGGCGGTACCCGTTTGATGGTTTCCATTGAGCCCCGTGTCGTGCTGTTACTCCCCCTCTGAGCCTGATGACCCCTTACCTGGTTGTGTGGGTGCCCCCTTGGAGTTTACTCTGAGAACTGTACCTGCCGCCTTCCCACCCGTTCCTACTCCTGCCATGCGACTGAGTCCCTTTCTCTTTTCTTCAGGTATTGTGCATTGTGTACAGGGCACGTGAGACGGTGCCACATTGGTTTTCGACTTAGGACATCGGTTTAGTTATTCTTTGGCCGTTAGGGTCCTGGTGTTGATGTATATTCAGCCCCTTTGGTTGAGGAGACATTTTTCTCCTTCTTGGCCGACACAGGTCAGATATTTTTCTCTTTCTTGGCCGACACAGGTCAGACATTTTTCTTTTTCTTGGCCGACTCAGGTCAGACATTTTTCTTCTTTTTGGGTCGACACAAACCAGACATTATGGTATAGATTAGGCTTGAGGCTTAGTCTGCATTGCATCCCTTTTCATGCATGGAGCCTACTCCGTATTTAGGATTGGTCCTTTTGCCGTTACTTTTGGGTTTCCGCTATTTCAGCGGATAGCGTGTTTGATGTATCGCTTACCAGGTTTTCCCGTACCTGGACCTAGGCCGGTATATCACTTCGGCCTAGGCCCAGGGCAGGAGGTTCATTCATGCAGTGGTTCGTTCTTTCGTGGAGCCGGACTGGACCTTCACTCAGCTGCTGCTTCTCGTGTGTGTCCATCTCCGCAGGCAGCACAGCCGATGCGCCATAGCTAAGGTGGTGACCGAAGGAGACAGTCCGCCATAGCGGACCTCGGGTTGAAGGAGCCGCCGCGCACCTGCAGAAAGAGGACCACGACGAAGAAAAAAATTGGGAGAGAGAGAGAGAGATGAGAGATACAAGATTGGTTTCTTACCTGCTGCGCTGAAGATACCGCCACGGAGAGAGAGAGAGAGAGAGAGAGAGAGAGAGATGAGCGATCCAAGATTGGTTGTCACTTACCTGTGAAGCGAGTTGCGCTGTCCGATGGAGGAGGAAGGTAGCGACCATAGCCGCGGAGCTTCATCACAGGGCACTGAAGGAGAGAGATAGGGAGGGCAGAGAAGGAGGGACTGAGGAGAGAGAGAGAAGTGTGGAAGGAGGAGA